GAAGAAATATACTTCATGAATCACCAAATAATGTAGCATATCATTGTAAATATATTCGATGCCATTTTGAAAATTTAAAAAGTGAAAATGATGTGTCACATCTTTCAGAGATTTATATTGATGAGTCTTACTGCCACCTACATCATAACTTACCTAATACATGGCTTCTACATTATGGTATTGTTTCAACACCAGGACAGGATCCCTTGTTAGTAATTTTTAGCGCAATTGTAATTTTTCAAAATGGTATAACAAATAAATTGTATGGTAAAATTGTTTTAAATTCTATTTATATTTGGAATCTAACAATCAAACCACCAGGAAATAGAGGATGAAAATGAATTGATGCTAAAGGATGGAATAATTTTTCTGAAGTTATGAAAAATGCAAATATAACTGCCAATCAATTTGATTACCATGGAAATTTCAATGCTGAAATTTTCGAAGATCTTTTTACTAAGTTATGTAAAACAATCAATAATTTATATAGTCCTTCAATTATTCATATAGATGACACATGCTACCATAAATAACGAATAAAAAATATACCAACATCTAATTCTAAAAAACAAGGAATTATTGATTGGTTAAATAATCATGAAATTGAACTTCTAATGAATTATGTAAAGCTGAACTTTTAGAATTAGTTCAGCATTACAAAGAAAAAGTCTCATTCGCTTGTATAGAGATAGGCAGAAAGTTTAATCATCAGGTTTTATTTACTCCACCATATCACTGTAAACTTCAACTAATTGAAGGTGTGTGAGCAGTTGTAAAGGGTGAGGTAGCACGAACAGGTCCATACTCAAGTCTTTTAAGCATTCGGGATAAGCTTCTATATGGATTTAATGAAAATAAATTCTCATACTGTAGTTGGGCTTTGGAAACAAGCTCTTTCATATGCAAAAAAATATAAAGAATTTGATGAAGAAATTTCATGTATTGATGATGAACTGAATAGTGATTGTTCAAAAGATAGCAATTAATTCTATAAAAAATTTATATATTATATTTCCGAATGCATATTTAATTTGTTTTAAAAAAAATAAAAAATTTATATGTAAAAAATTTTTTATGAATTTTTTCTGAAGTACTAATCTTTTCACACCGCCCCATACTAATAATTAGATTGAATAAACATTAAGCAAGAATATTTTTGATTAGAAATAATTGATAATAAATATTTCTTTACATAATAATAAAAAACTTTATATCATCAGCATACCAACTGGTTGATTATAGAATAGAAGGACCGTAATAATAATTTAAATTACCTATTATTTGATTTTTCCCTAATTATCATCTGAAAGGTATAAATATTTCAAATACTATAACATCTAAAAATATATATATATAATTTATATATCAAATATATTATTTACATTTTATATCAGTAATTAGCTTTTTGTAAGTCTCTTGGTATTCCAATCCATTTCGACAACAATAGCCGACTTGAAACATTCCAACAAAATCATCCATTTCTGCTGATTTTTGATAATAAGTAAATGCCTTATTTTCATCCCTTTAAATTCGTAATGATAACAGTATCTGACTTGATATATTGCATCCGCATTTCCCATTTTAGCAGATTTCTGATAGTAAATAAATGCATTATTTTTATTGTTTTCAACAACTTCTATACCATGATACGTAGTAACAATCTCCAATATCCTGTAATCACGTTCTCCATTTTAGCAGATTTCTGATAATGAATGAATGCCTTATTTTCACTCTTTTCGACTCCTCTTCCGGCCTGATAGCAACGTCCAGTATTATATATTGCACATTTATTTATTATAAAAAATCCGCTGAAATGGGAAATTCGGATGTAATAAATAATGGGGATGATGGATGATCGTGAAATCTAGAAACCCCATTGGCTAATCACCTAACTCTAACCAATCAGATGCGTTAATTTCACGATCATCCAAATTTCAGCATCATCCCCGACAAATAATATTGGGCATTATTATCTATATGGAATAGGAGTTAAAAAGGACGAAAATAAGGCATTTTTTCATTATCAAAAATCCGCTGAAATGGGAAATGCGGATGCAATGAACTATATTGGTCGTTGTTATGAATATAGAATAGGAGTTGAAAAAGATGAAAATAAGGCATTTATTCATTATCAAAAATCAGCTGAAATGAGAAATGCTGCTGCAATAAATAATATTTGGTATTGTTGTCAACATGGATTGGAAATTGAAAAGAATGACAATAAGGCATTTATTTATTATCAAAAAATCAGAATGCAATAAATAAGATTGGATATTTTATCTATATGGGATAGGTGTTAAAAAGGATGAAAATAATACATTGATGAATTATAAAAATCCGCCAAAATGGGAAATGCTGCTGCAATAAATAATATTGAGTATTGTTATCGAGATGGAATGGAGATTAAAAAGGATGAAAATAAGGCATTTGTTTATTATCAAAAATCCGCTGAAATGGAAAATGATATGGCAATATATCAAGTTGGGCGTTGTTATGAAGATGGAATAGGTGTTGAATAAGATAAAAAAAAAGCGTTTATTCATTACCAAAAATCCGCTGAAATAGAAAATGTGGACACAATATATCAAATTGGGCGTTGTTATTAAGATGGAATAGGAGTTGAGAAGGATAAAAATAAGGCATTTATTCATTATCAAAAATCTGCTGAAATGGGAAATTCTATGACAATAAATAGTATTGGATATTATTATCAACGTGAAATAGGTGTTGAAAAGAATGATAATGTTGCATTTATTCATTATCAAAATCTGCTTATTTTCATCCTTTCTGATTCCCATTCCATATCAATAACAATATCCAATATTATTTATTGCATCCGTATTTCCCATTTCAGCCGATTTTTGATAATGAATAAATGCCTTATTTTCATTTTTTCAACTCCCATCCATATTCATAACAACGTCCAATATTATTTATTGCATCCACATTTCCAATTTCAACTGATTTTTGATAATCATAAATGCCCTATTTTCATTCTCTTTGATCCCTATACCATATATATACCAATTTCTAATATAATTAATTGCATCCGCCCTTCCAATTTCAGCAGATTTTTGATAATAAATAAATGCCTTATTTTCATCCTTTTTAATTCCTATTTCATTTCGATAACAATATCCAATATTATTTATTGCATCCCATTTCCCATTTCAGAAGATTTGTGATAATGAATAAATACTTCATTTTCATCCCTTTCAACTCCTATTCCGTCTCGATTACAGCGTCCGACATCACATATTGCATTCGCATTTCCCATTTCAGCTGATTTTTTACAATATATGAATGCCTTGTTTTTATCCATTTTAACTCCTATTCCATATTCATAACAACGTCAATATTATTTATTGGTCCGCATTTCCCATTTCAGCTGATTTTTGTTGATGAATAAATGCCTTGATTTCATTCTTGTTAATTCTTCCATTTCAATCAGATAAATGTGCCCGAGTTCATTCATTAAATTAACGTCTTCTAACTTGTCGTTTTTTGATGATAAAACAATCTATTATAAATTTTTTTCATGCTGCTTTTGAACATAACTAATTGGCATTACACGTAAAGTTTCGTGTTACTTTGTTATACATTTTTATAATGTATAAATAACATAAACGCCGTTTAAATTTTCATTATTAATTTTAAGAACCAGAGAATTCATAGGCTTATAGATTTAGTTACGACGTTTTTCAAATTATGTAACCACCCGGTCGAAAATTTTGACATATTTGTCATGAATAAATCTTAATTAATTTATCTGGAAATAACAATTCCCAAGATTATCCGTTATATTGTTATTTCTTGTAACGCACTAAAAGTGGTAGTTGATCTTGCAAAATAATATCAAAATTATTTTGTTTCTTCTTTTATTAACTGGAATTCTGGGTGGTTGGCAAGCTGATGAGTTTGGTGAGACAATAATGAAGAGAGCCTTGCCACTATTTGGCGAACTAAAAAAAGCTCGTCTTGCCAACCACTTTATCCATTATTCAATTTGCAATCTGCCAATTTTAGTATACTACTACAGATAATACTAAAGAATCGAAATATAACAGGAAGTCTTGGAAATTTTTATACATTTAAGCCTAGGTGCCACACAAAAAATGCGCGGATGATCCCCGATTATGATTGGCCAACGGCGACGATCAATAATTTAGGCCAAATTTACTCAAATTTTTACTAATGAAATCGAGGCCCCCATTAAGTGAAAAATGTCCTAGTCATGGTCAAAAAAATGCTACCCAGTTATCCGACGGGTATGGAAGTTATAAGTCCGGTCCGGTTCCATGGAGTCGAGTTTTACAGCTGTTATCATTATTCCTGGGACACCTTGTGAAAAATTTACCGAGTTATTCTGCCGATTCGTTAAGTTATTGATTTCGGCGTGATTATGATCAATGTAACGTTTATTATTTACAAAGATAGTCTAAAACCTGGTATGTACATACGTACGTAGATGCAGTGACAATTATTAATCAATAATGACCAGGTAGGGCTGTTAAAAGTCCGGTCCTTTTGGTCCAGACTTCGTAAATAGGGACTTCGATTAAGGTAGTAAAATTGTACGGTACGGTAATACAAATTAGTACGTACAGACGACAATTGAACAAAAATTTGATAGTACGTACTCTATAAAAAAAAAAAAAACATCCATACAAGTACATATGAATGGTTTTTATGCTTTGGTACATTCGACGTTTGTTTTTAATAAATAAGTAACACAAAAAAAGTAAACCTTTGCGTTATTAAAATATCGGACTTAATTATTGAAAAAATAATAATTGAGTTCGATTCCTGGGCATTACTCCAATATTAATAATAAGCATAACATTTCGAATTATAATCTTAATTTATTCAATTGCAAGCGAATAAAAGAATAAGTTTATTTAATTTTAACTAAACACACAGATAAGCCTATTTTTTTAAAATAAATCTAAACCATCTAGAATTACAAACCCAGGATTGCTTTTAACTTCTGATTTTGTAATTCATAGCCTTACTTCAGTAGCCTCTTTTCTAATTCTAGTTTGACGTTCTAACAAAGCAATTTTTCTCTCTTCCAATTCAATATCCAACAGTAAATCATTCTTATGGTTATTTTGAAATGTAGATATGTTTTTATTATTATTTGTTGGATCCATTTCCATTACTTCAATTGCATCCTGTAAACTAGTTTTATAACATAATCTTTTATTATAACTGTTGGTAGTAGAAATCTTTCTTTTACGTTCATTAGTTTTAGTATACTTATATCTTGTTGCTAAATAAAAATAAATAAATAAATAAAAATTAGTATATGCATCCTTAATAAATAAATATAAAATAAATATTTACTTTTTCTATTTATTGCACTTTGTTGCCATTTAACTTCACTTTTATCATTTCTTGTATATGGGATACCTAAATTCTTGTGAGTTTCTTTAATTTTTAATAACCTTTCATCATATCATTTTTTACTAAATAAATAAATTAATAGTTTATTATAATTAAATTTTTATAATTTTATATAATTAATAAAATTATTATTATTATAAAATAGCTGATAGAAGTTTTAACTGTTTTTCTTCTTTGTTTACTAAGTATAGGTTACTTCTGCTGAATTTGTATTGTTATTATGTTTTTTTCAAATCTTATGCTCCATTTTAGACATGTATATATTTTAAAAATAAAATTATCCAAAGTGTTTTATAATAGTTAGCTTATTCTATATAATAAATTTTTTTTTTTTTAATGTTAAAGTTCCTATCTTCAGAATGCAACATTTTTATTCAAATATAGGACACAGCATGCCACCAGGAGTTACCTTACATTGAAGGTTACAACTAGTCACATATGCACTTTTGGCATCTAATTTAAGTAGTCTGCTTATACATTACTATATAAGTTCTATACTAGATGTTATACCTGCAAGCCAACTAGAAGTCTTGCCTATTTAAACCCTCTACATATGCAATCCTCCTTGTATCATGAGAACATTTTCAAGGTTATATCCATTTAAGTTTCTAATGTTAGTTAGTATCCTTAGAACTATTTTATTCTTAACAGAAAACTTACTAGAGTTTTTATGTTTCACATATACTAATCTAGTTTTATGCAACATGCTATAGTTATCTAATACTTGCAATTACATGGGTTACCTGTTTAACTGTTACATTACACTATTTTTATATTTGTAAAGTTCACTAAAACTTTAGTACCTATCTTCTTAGCATTTTTTCTATTATCTCCTACTAGTCACAACTTAAAATCAGCAGTCTTTCTCAGACTACCAATTTAGATAACCTAATATGATATACTTTTGTATTCTTTTTTTCTGATGAGTCTAACAGTCTAGTTAGTTATGTTGTTACAGGGTTGTAACTTCTTAATATAATACAACCAGGTAACAAGATTACCTGATACAGTAATTGATTATTACAAATATATATAGAGTGGAGATGTAATAATTTACTTTACTACACAGCAGCAGACAAATAGTTTAAGATAGTAACAGTATATAGATTAACTTTATTAAATAACATATAATGACAACTTTATCTGTAAGAATTACTTTAAAGGAGGAATATTATTTTTATAATTTAGAAATAAAGATAAGAAGGTCTAAATTGAAGTATAAAAACTTAAAATTAGCAAAAAAGAGTAAAAGGTACTGTTAACCTGTAGTTTTTCCTTTAACTACAGTGATATCAGAAGCTGCTCAATTATAGTATGATGACTATAACTT